TCACCCTAACCCAAAACCCTAACCCGAACCCCAACCCCTAACCCCAGACCCAAAGAGCACTCACTACTCATTACTCACTACTCACTACCCACGACTGGCTACTCGCTACTCATTACTCACTTCTCACTACCCCTTACTCACTCCTCACGACTCACTACTCACAATCAACTACTCACTACCCACTACTCGCCGCTACTCCTTACTCACTATTCCCTCCTCCCTACTCACTACTCACTACTCACTCCTCACTACCCACTACTCAATACTCACTACTGACTAATCACTACTCACTACTCCATACTCACAACTCACTAATCGCTACTCATTACCCACTAACCACTATCCACTACGCACTACTCACTACTCACTACGCATTGCCCACAACTCACTACTCACTACCAACTACTCGCTACTCGCTACCCTTTACTCTCTACACGGCACTGACTACACAGTACTCAGTACTCACTACTCGCTATTCCCATGCTCACTACGCCATACTCACCACTCACTCACCGCTATTGACTACTCACTACTCACTACTCACTACTCACTACTCTTTACTCACTAGTCACTAGTCTCTCACTAGTCATTAGCCACTAGTCACTAGTCACTACCCACTACTCACTACTCACTAATCGCTACTCACTACCCACTACTCGCTACCCACTTCCTACTATTCACTGCTCACAGCTCACTACTCCCTACCCCCTACTCACTACTCACTACGCACTACTCACTACTCACTACTCACTACTCGCTACTACCTACTCACTACCCACTACTCACTACCCACTACTCACTACTCACTACACCGTACTCCCTACTCCCTCCTCACTACTCACTACGCCCTACTCGCTCCTCACCGCTCACTACTCGCTACTACCTACTAACTACTCACTACTCACTACCCGCTGCCCACTACCCACTACACTCTATTCATCACTACTCACTACCCACTACTCCCTACGCACTACTCACTACTCACTACTCACTACTCACTCCTCACTACTCACTACTCACTACTCGCTACTCTCTACTCACTACTCACTACGCACTGTTCACTACGCACTACCCAGTACTCACTACTCACTAATCACTACTCGCCATCCACTGCTCACTACCCACTACTCACTACCCACGGCTCATTACTCCCAACTCCCTACTCGGTACTCACTACTCGCTACTCGCTATTCACTACTCACTACTGACTGCTCGCTACTCACTACTCACTTGTCAGTACACACTACTCACTATTCACTACTCACTACGCCCCACTCCCTACTCCCCACTCCCTACTCCCTCTTCCCTACTCGCCACTCACTACCCACTACTCACTACCCAATGCTCAACACTCACAACGCACTAACTCACTACCCACTACTCACTAGTCCCTACTCCCAACTCCGTACTCCCTACACACCTTCTCTGGCGCAGAAAGGAGAAGCGAGAGAGGCCCCCTCCCCGGCTCCCTTTCCGGCGCAGAGGGGAGGGGGGGGGAGGTTCGAACCCCCCCCCCTTTCCAGCGCCAAAGGGGGGAGGGGGAGGGGGGGGTCCGGAACCCCCCCCCCCTTCAAGGGAGGGGGGGTGGGGGGGGTTCGGAACCCCCCCCCTTAAGGGGAGGAGGGGGGGGGGGTCGAAAATCTCACCCCCCCTTTGAAGAGGGGAGGGGGGGGGTTCTGCGAGCACACACCCCCTTTTCAATTACAGGGTGATCCAGTGGCGCGCTTTCCCAAATATGGCCGCAAAATGTCTCCAAGACGGTCCGCTATGCCCCCAAAGTGGCCAAGATGGCCTCAAGATGGCCTAAGACGGCCCAAGAGGCCGCCCAGACGGCCCAAGAGAGCTCCAAGAGGCCCCCAAAGGAAGGCCCGAGAAGACCAAGTTCAGTGGTTTGCTTTAGGTTGTTCAAGGATTTTGGCGTGTGCTCATTGTCGGCTTTCCGACGGCCCAAGACGGCCACAGAGGCAATCCAGATAGCCCCAAGAGTACCCAAACGGCCTCCGACGGCCCAAGAGGCCCCCAAGACGGCCCCTGGAGGGCTCCAAGACGGCCCAAGACGCGCAAGATGGCCTCCAAGACGGCTCTGGAGCGCCCCGAGAGGGGCCCAGAAAGGCTCCCAAGACGGCGTCCGACGGCGTCAGACGGGCAAGGAACGCACTCAGACGCCCCAAGCGCCCCCCCCAAGGAGCCTCCAAAGGATCCTCAGAGGCCCAGAGGCAGCCTCCAAGAGGCCCCCAAGGAAGCTCCCAGGAGGCCCAAGAGTGCCCCAAGAGGCTCCCAAGAGGCCTCATCCTCCTCCTCCTCTTCCACCTCCTACTCTTCCTGCTTGGTCATCCCTTTTCTCCTCTTCTTTCTCCCCCGCGTGTTCCCCGAAGGGTATCCACAACGGCTGGGAGACCACTTAGTCCCATAGCTTGGCCGAGCTCTGACCGCAGTGCTCGTGAGTTCGGCCACTCAGTCTCTTCAAATAGGCAGGGGGCGGCGGTGATTCGCCGAAGGCTCGTTCGATATTGCTGAACGTCCAGGTACGCACGATCTCCATATCTTGTCTGAAAATTCCGCCTGCCTCCACCTCCTCCTCCTCCTCGTCCTCCTCCTCTGCCTCTACTACTACTACTACTACTACTACTACTACTACTACTACTACTACTACGACGACGACGACGACGACGACTACTACTACTACTACTGCTACCACTACCACTACCACTACCACTACTACTACTACTACTACTACTACTACTACTACTACTACTACTACTACTACTACTACTACTACTACTGCTACTACTGCTACTACTGCTACTACTACTAGTACTACTACTATTACTACTACTTATACGTATGATTATAACTTATATGTATACTTGTACTTATACTTATTTTATTACTACTACTACTACTACTACTACTACTACTACTACTACTACTACTACTACTACTACTACTACTACTACTACTACTACTACTACTACTACTACTACTACTACTACTACTACTACTACTACTACTACTACTACTACTACTACTACTACTACTACTACTACTACTACTACTACTACTACTACTACTACTACTACTACTGCCTACTATTACTACTCCTAAGCACTACCACTACGACTACGACTGCTACTTCTTCTACTACTACGACTACTACGGCTACTACTACTACTACTACTACTACTACTACCACTATTACTACGACTACGACTACGACTACGACGACTACTACTACTACTACTACGAAAACTACTACTACTACTACTACTACTACTACTACTACTACTACTACTACTACTACTACAACTACAAAGACTACTACTACTACTACGAAAAAATAATAACCATAATAATATGAATCATAATAATGCGATTACTAATACTACTGCTACTCCTCCTCCTCCTCCTCCTTCTGACTCCTCCTCCTCCTCCTGCTCCTCCTCCTCGGCCTCCTCCTCCGCCTCCTCCTCCTCGTCCTCCTCTTCCTCTTCTCCCTCCTCCCACGCCTCCTCAACCTCCTACTTTCTCCTGGGGCTTCGGGCCGCCAGTGGCCTCCTGGACACGCTCTTGAAACTGCCCATGCTGAAGTCGGGGACCCGTCGGAAACTTCAAAAGTCTCGTCCTCCTCACCCTCCTCCTCCTCCGCCTCCACCTCCGCCTCCGCCTCCTCCTCCTCCTTCCTCCCTCCTCTTACTCCTCATCCTCCTCATCATCCTCTCCATCCTCCTGCTCCTGCCTAAGGCAGGAGCAGGCAGGCAGGCAGGCAGGCAGGCAGAGAAGGCCGTAGCAGGCAGGCAGGCAGGCAGAGAAGGCCCTTCTCTGCCTGCCTGCCTGCCTGCCTGCCTGCTACTGCCTTCTCTGCCTGGCTGCCTGCCCGCCTGTCTGCCTGCCTGCCTGCCTGCCTGCCTGCCTCCTCCTCCTCCGCCTCCTTCTCCTCCTGCTTCTCCTCCTCCGCCTCCTCCTCCACCTCCTCCTCCTCCTCCTATTCCCCCTCCCCCTACACCTCCTCAACCTCCTACCTCCTCCTGGGGCTTCGGGCCGCCAGTGGCCTCCTGGAGAACATCTGGGGCCTCGTGAGGCTTCCTGGTGGCTCCAGTGCCTTCTGTGTTTTCGTGGGGACTCCCGGATCTTCCTGAGGCAACATGTCGCCTCCTGGGGCTTCCTGTTGCCGTCTGAGCCACTCCGAGGAATCCCGCTCGAGACCTCCTCGAGACCCGCTCGAGACATCCCAAGGATTTCCCCAGGGCGCTCTAGACTTCCTCGAGGTTGAATGTCCCAGGTATGCAAACCGACTGCCGCCTCTGAGCAATAACACGAAATGTGGGCACAGAAGCAGGGGGCTCCACCTCGAGACTTCCTCCCATGTCACTCACTGACGAGGCTGCCGCTGGAGACTTCCACAATACTAGTGTATGATAGAGTGGGTGTGTGAGTGTATGAGTGTGTGAGTGCATGCGTAAGTGAGTGAGTGTATGTGCACAGGGTACTGATGATGATGGTGATAGTGGAGATGATGATGTTGATGGTGTGAGTGTGGAAGTGTGCGTGGTAATGATGGTGACCGGTCGCAAAAGAAAGACAAGGAGGAGAGGGTCAGGAGGAGGGTATTGCGCGGGGAGGTCTAGGGAAAAACCGAAAACCACTTAGGACGTGGGGAACAAGAACCACACTTTGGATGTGGGTAAAGTGTATTTGGCCAGGGCTAATGACTAGGGCTGCTCAGGAAACAACCATGATTAACTGCAAGCGAAAGATCACTCACTGCACGATGCAGGCCACGGAAACGGAGTCATACTTCCCTCATCCACACACGTACTCACCCTCATCATCATGCTCTGCTTCCCGCATGCGTTCCTCCCACATCCCCTCAAGCTGTCTCCCCCTTCTCCCCTCCCCCTCGATTTCTGCTTTACTTCCTTCCACTTTCCATTCCCCCTCACCTCCTCTTCATCCCTCTCCCCTGCCCTTATGAAGAGCTGCGGCGGCTGCAGAGTGGTCGCCTTGGGGTGCTCCCGGGCAATCTTTTGGAGATTCTCCGCCTCCGTCAAAAGGTTCTGGTCGATTCTGGTGCCCCGAACCAGCTGGCGGCCGGCGGCAGTGCAAGACCCAAGCAAAAATGAGCGGACATCAGTCACAGTCACTCCTCTGATCCTCTTCCCCTTGCCTTGTCCTCCTTCAACCACCATTGGCTATCCTGAAGTGGATAATGCGTCAAGTGCAGAAGGGCAGGATGACACACGTCACACTAGATTCGCCATCACCATCTCCATCACCAACACCGTCACCATCATCATCATCATCATCATCATCATCATCATCATCATCATCATCATCATCATCATCATCATCATCATCATCAGTATCACAATCATCATCAGCAGCAGCAGCATCAGCATCAGCGTCAGCATCGTCATGCATCAGAGTCATCAGCATCAGCATCAGCATCAGCATCAGCATCATCGTCGTCATCATCACCACCACCACAAATCATCATCATCATCATCATCATCATCATCATCATCATCATCATCATCATCAGAATCATCATCATCATCAGCAGCATCATCATCATCAGCATCATCAGCATCATCAGCAGCATCATCAGTATCATCGAAATCACCATCAGCAACAGCATCATCATTATTAGCAGCAGCAGCAGCAAGATCAGCATCAGCATCATCATCATCATCATCAGCAGCAGCTGCAACATCATCATTATAAGCAGCAGCATCATCATCAGTATCTCAACGACATCACTACCATCAGAATCATAATAATAGTCAGCATCATCATCATCCTCATCATCATTAGAATCCTCCTCATCATCATCATCATCATCATCATCATCATCATCATCATCATCATCATCATCATCATCATCATCATTACCATCATCAGCGTCATCATCATCAGCATCAGCATCAGCATCAGCATCATCATGAGCAGCAGCAGCAGCAGCACCATCATCAGCATCATCATCATAATCATCGTCCCCATGTTCATCTATTCAGCATGGCTTTCGTGAACTTTTGCCAGTCAGCGATTGCCTGCCTTGGGGGCTCTGTGGAGCACCGGGGGTCCTGGCACGGCATGGAGCTCTGGCGGGTCCACTGCTGGAACTCCCTGGATTTCAACCAGCCTCGAACCTTGTCCCTGTCCCTAAGATGGGCAAGCCCAAGGCGATGACAATCCTAGGGATACGCTCTCGGAAACTGAGGAAATTCTGAAGATCGGAACCGAGATGAGGCGATGCCAAACATAGGGATAAGGATATGCTTCAAGCTGGAAAGAGTTGTATCGTCGCTGCCTACACGACTGCGGTGAGCGCTTCTCGGGTCCCCTCCCGCTCCCACTCCCGCTCTTCCTCCAGTTCCATCCCCAGGAGAGCCCAGAATCGAATCGATAAGTCGAATCGGCGATCCAAATGAATCGGATCGGCGGAAATCAGCAGTCGAGTCGGGAAAAGTCGAATCGGTAGACATCGGCAGGCTGATAGGCCTCCATTGAGAAATCGGAATTCAATTCGGAATCCAAAGTCGAATCGAATCGGAATCAAAGGCGAACCAAATCGAATCGGAGGCATCGAATTGAACCCTGAGAGGGGCGAAGCACGTGCGCGGACGAGGGGGGGACCACGGAACGCCTTGAAAGAAGAAGCGGGGGCCTCGAGATCAGGGAAGACCTCATGGCCCCCGCCACGGTATCCACCTCCCCCCCTAGTCTTAGGTCGGGCATGCCCTCCTACAGGCGGATTTTGGAAAAAGTCAAAGATAGCCCAAAACAAATATTCAATGTAATCAAAAATAGCTTCAACAAATCGTCCCCATCTATGCTTAAACTATTCTTGAATATCCCTCCTGTAGGGAGACGTGCCCGACTTAACCCCAGTCATCACCCCCCTCTCGGCCGCCCCCGACGAATCCATCCCCCCCCCCCCCTGCGCCGCTCGCTCCCCAGACCCCCGGCGTCGTGTTTCCTTCGCAGCGTCGACCCCCAGGAGGTCTGGACCCCTTCTCCTCCTCCTCCTCCTCCTCCTCCTCCTCCTCCTCCTTCTCCTCCTCCTCCTCCTCCTCCTCCTCCTCCTCCTCCTCCTCCTCCTCCTCCTTATCCTCCTCCGCCTCCGCCCTCCTCCTCCTCCTCCTCCTCCGGCGTCGTGCTTCCTTCACAGGTCTGAACCCCTTCTCCCCGGGTTCCGGTCCTTTCCTCCCGAGTCGTCGTCGGGCAGCCCCGAGGCCCCGGCAGGGGCCCCAGGAGGCCGAAAAACAGCGAGGGGCGCGCAGGAGGAGGAGGAGGAGGAGGAGGAGGAGGAGGAGGAGGCGGAGGAGGAGAAGGAGGAGAAGGAGGAGGCGGAGGAGGAAGAGGAGGAGGAGGCGGAGGAGGCGGAGGCGGAGGCGGAGGAGGAGGAGGAGGAGGAGGAGGAGGCGGAGGAGGAGGAGGAGGAAGAATCCTCTGGGCCCGGCAGAGGCCTCCCGTCGTGCTCTTCGTCCGAGCGCGAGGGGGGTCGAACCAACAACACACACCCATACCCATAGGGGGGTCGGAGAGGGCTATGGGTGCGTGTTGTCGGATGGGGGCCCCCGCTCGAAGGGGAGCGTTCCCCAGGGTCTGACAACCCGCACCCATACCCATAGCCAGTCCTCCTCCCAACGACCCCCCTATGGGTTTGGGTGTGTGTTGTTCGTTCGTCAAGGGGGGGTCCCGGGTCTCTGCTGCTCCCCCGGGGCGCGCGCGCCGCGCGCGCGCCTTGAGCACGAGCTCCCTGCCGGGGGCGCCAGAGCCGCCCGAGGCCGCCCGCGCGAGCTCGCTGACGAACCAGACGCCGTCGTTGAGGCCACCCTTGAACCCCTTCATCTCCTGGGGCTCCGTCGTCGTCGTCGTCGACTGATCCTCCTCCTCCTCACCCTACGTGCGTCTGCTCATCCTTCTCTTTCTTCTCCTCCTCCTCGTCTGATCCTCCTGCTGCTGGTCTTCATGATTCCTCCTCCTGCCCCTCTTCATCATCCTCATCTCCATTTTCCTCATCGCCCTGTTCACACTCTCATCACCATCAGCAGCAGCACCTCCTGAATGTTTCTCTTCCTCCTTGCCCTCCTCCTTCTCCTCATCGTCTGATCCTCCTCCTGCTGGTCTTCATGGTTCCCTCTCCTCCCCCTCGTCATCATCCTCATCCCCATTTTCCTCATCGCCCTGCTCATCCTCATCACCAGCATCATCATCAGCAGCATCATCATCGTAGTCACCATCTACATCATCCTCATTCACATTATCATCCTCATCATCCTTATCCTCAGTATCGTTCTCATCCTCATCCTCATCATCATCACCACCACCACCACCACCACCACCACCATCATCATCATCATCATCATCATCATCATCATCAGCAGCAGCAGCAGCAGCAGCAGCAGCAGCAGCAGCAGCAGCATCATCATCATCATCATCATCATCATCATCATCATCATCATCATCATCATCATCATCATCATCATCATCATCATCATCATCATCATCCGCATCATCATGAGCGCCATCGTAATCGCAGCTGGCGTCATCGCGCGATGATTGCTGACCGATTCCAAGAAAGGAGAGCGCGCTTGGCCCGCACAGTCTCATTCAATAGACCGGCAAACAAACCACGACTTTAGTGTCATTTCAGCGAGTCCGCGTACAGCAAGACGGCTTTTCCTGATTGAGAACAACAGCGATTACTCCCACCAGCCCTCCGGGCATAGGTGGTGTAACGAATTCGTTCGCTCCTCTTCCACAACCCCCCTTCCCTTTCGGGGAAAGGGGGACCCCCCCCCCCATATACCCGCCCAGGGGTCTGGATGGGAGGGGGCATAGGCCGTGCTCGGCAGGGGCCCTTAACCTGCAATCCTAGCGTTGAGTTCCGTCTTGGGAGGAAATAGGAGGGAGAGGAGGGAGAGCGAGCAGAGGAGGGAGAAAGGGGGGTTGAAGGAGAGAGAAGGGAGGAAAAATGAGGACATGGAGGGAAGGGAGGATACGGAGGATAGAAGGAGGTGGTGGAGAGGGAAACAGGGAGGGAGCAGTAGGGAGGGAAGGTGCCCCAGGCCCAGGCCAGGCAAGGGGGAGGGAGCAGGAGGGACCGAGGGAGGGGCCTCGATGACCGCGCCAGGCCCCATGCCCAGCAAGGACAGCAGCTGCCCCCTGATGGAGAGGTCCGAGGGGTCGAAAGACCGCGCGGTGATGTGCAACTCTCCAGCCTCGTTAGCATGCACTGAACGAGGAGAGGGAGGAGGGCGGAAGAAGCAAGGAGGAGGGCGAACAAGGGACCGGGAGCAGGAGGGAAGAGGGAGGAGGAGGAGGAGGAGGAGGAGGAGGAGGAGGAGACGGAGGCCAGAGGGGCGAGGGGGTGCGATTGGGAAAGGAGAGGAGGGGAGAGACCAGGGAAAAGGGAGGGAGGAGGAGGGGAGAGGAGGGAGGTTAGAGGGAAGAGAAGGGAGGAGGAGGAGGAGGAGGAGGAGGAGGAGGAGGAGGAGGAGGGACGAGGAGGAGGAGGTCGCTTTTCGCTGAGCGGTGAGCGAGCGAGGGGAGGAGGGAGAGGGGATGCGGAGTGGAGGCGAGGAACAAATGACAGGAGAAGACGAGAGGAACAGCCGAGGAGAGGAGCTCGAGGAGGGAAGAAAGATGAGAGAACCATGAGAGAAGAAAAATGAAATGAGGACAGGAACAGCCGAGAAGAGGAGCCTGATGAGGAAGAAAAACGAGGGGGCAGAGAAGGGCTGGGGAGGTAAGAGTCAGGATCAGGATCAGGATCAAGTCAGAATCATGAGGCGACGTCTCACTGGAGAGAGCGTGCACTGAGCACACACCACGCTGAGAGAAAGCAATGCCGAAAACTCAAGACTGGGGCGGACCACGTGCGACCGAAGGACAGGGGAGGAAGGAATTGGGGTAAACCACGGCGTACGAGCTGGGCAGCGCATGCTCCAGCGCAGATCGAGCGGCATCGTGCCACCTCTGTCGTCGTCCACGGGCT